GGGGGGCCGCTTCCGGGAAGGAGTGAGGTTTTTTTTGCCGGCCCCTTCGCTCCCCGGAGGCGTGCTTCCCGTGCCACCCCCACTTCCCTCTTTTTTGCCCTCTCCATTCTCTTCCCCCTTCCTCCCTCCTTGTTCACTCCTCCTCTTCTTGGTTCGTTGTTTTTTCTTCCCCCCCCCTCGCCTTTGCCCCTTTTCTTCCCTGTCCTCCTGCTCCTGGCGGTGTCCCCAACACTGCCGTTTTTTGTGGTTTCTCCTGATGAGGCGGCGCGGTTTACCCCCGGGGCGTGCTCATGGATGCGTGTTTGTGTGCTGAGAGAGAGAGCGAGAGAAAGAGAAAGAGAGTTGGTGAGACTAGGCAGCTGCGCAGTGTCGGTGGTGTGGGGGCTTGTGTGGGCGTGATTCCTACCCCGTCCTCGTTCTTCCCTCCCCCCTCCTCCTGGGAGACAGAGACCCGGGGTCCCTGTGTTTGGGTTCCCTTCTAGGTGTGTGCGTGTGTGCGTGTGTGCGTGTGTGCGCGTGTGTGTGTGTGTGCGCGCGCGCGCGCGCGTGTGTGTGTGTGTGTGCATGCGAGAGCGAGTGGTGCCTGGGGCGACTGGTCGTCCCCTCTGCCCACCTCTCCCTTCTTGGCCTTCCCCCTCCTCCTCCTCCCCTTGTCGCTTTGATCCTGCGGTCACTCTCCCCCTCTGAATCTGGTACTCCCAGAAGCCGGGCCCAGAGCGACCTCCAGTGTGCACGACAATATGACCGGGGGAACGACCGCGCCCACAGGGAGCACGTCGTGTGCAGATGCACGGAGGGGCGGGAGACCAAGCGAGGCCGTATGCACCGCCAGCGCGCGTGGTGCTCCCACATGCATGCACATGCATAGACCCGCACACACCCACACCCGCACCCACATGCGCATGGGCCGAACGCCCTGCTGCCAAGACTCGGCCATGAAGGTCGACAAGACACAAACACGCGCAATCATACACACTGACAGAGAGAAAGAGAGAGAGATAGAGCGAGGATTAGCTAGAAGGAGGTCCATAAAGAGAAAGGCACACACACACAGAGAGAGAGAGAGAGAGCGAGCGAGGGAGCGGGAGAGTCTGGACATACGAGGCCGGGCAGGCATGTGCGAGCCCCGCAGGTGGTCGGCTTTTTCGGGCCCGAGTGTCGCCTACCGACGGCCCCTGCTGGCGGGCAACGCCCCACCCCCCTGTGAACCGCCGCCCTCCCCCTCCTCGCCCGGCGCTCCTCACTTCCCTTCTGTTCGCCTCGCCTTCCTGTATGTCTGCCCTCGCCCCTCCCCGCCCCTCGCCGATGGCGATCGCACTCGCCCGCTTTCCCCTCGCCCCTCCGCCGCCCTCAGCTCGCCGTCCCCACACCGTCATGGCGCGGCTGCGCTTCTTGTGGTGGCCCCTGCCCCGCCCCTTCCCCCCCCCCCCCTCCCGCCCCCGCCCGCTCTCCGCCCTCCCACCCTCCCACCCCCCCCGCACCCCCCCACGGGAAAGTCGGCGATCGCCCATCGCCGGCGGTATCCCTCCGGCGCTGCGCATCTCACACCATGCTCTCGGGGCGGGCCGGCTTTTGTCGACCGCGGTCACTGTTGGCCGGCCCGCTCTCTTTTCTGCTCCTCCCACCCCCCTGACATTGCCTCTGGCCTCCTTCTCACCGCCACCACTTCTGTTCCCCCCTCTCCCCGCCTGTCCGTCCAGCTGGATAGCTGGTCTTCAGATCCCAAAGGCCACAATGTTCCGCCTTTCTTCCTCAATTGTGCGTGGGTCCCCGGGCGTCGCTGCGCATGCCTACCCTTCCCTCCCCCCCCCCGCCCCTTTCCCCGTGCTATCCTTTCCTCCTCCTTTCCCGTTTGCCCCAGTTCTTCCCTCTGTCAGCTGACGATAGGCCCGCACACGCACACGCACACGCACATGCGCTCAGGTTCGCTCTGCCACCACCGGCGCTCGCACCGTCGCCGCGGCTCGCGCCTTCAGCCAGACCACCCCCGCCTCGGCTGCCGCCGCCGTCAAGGTCCGTTATCCCCACCCTTGGTGCCCTCTCTTCGCCCCCCTCCCCCCCTTCCCCAGCCTGCTGACACAGCTCCTTCCTCCGCTTGCCTCTTCCTATCGCTTGCGCGCTCTCCCTCTCCCTCCGCCATCTCTTTGCTCCATCCCCTCATATGCGCGCGCACACACGCACACACACAGCACGTCGCCGGTGACTACAAGGTCA